CCTTGATCATCCGCTTCTGATACATCTGACCATGGTAAACAGCAGTAAGCCTCTTTTCATCAATTAAGTTCAGTTGATCAAGTCGAGTCTGGATCCAATCGTCTTCATTCAAACCTACATCCTTCATAATTCTCAGAGAGGGGATTTGAACCTCAATAGGCAAGACAACCTCCATGCTGTAAACCAAAGAATAGGGTGTTGCTCCGGTTGATGTGCGAGCCGTGGTACGATACCCGTGGAGAGCGAATGGTAGCATCTCAAGCTAGTCTTTGTACATGACTGACATATTTTGTATGATCTTCTTAATGTTTTTATTCGCAGCTTTGACAACACCATTCATCTTTGGACGATAAGGGGAAGAATTGTGATGCTGAATCTTGAATTGCTTGCACAAGGCGATGATCATAGTGTTGTTAAGATTTGTACCATTATCAGTGATGATCCTTTCCGGGATACCGTACCGGCAAATGAGATTTTTCTTGATGAAGCAGGCAACAACGTTCTTGGTAACGGAAGCGAAGGAAGCTGCCTCAACCCACTTGGTAAAATAGTCAATGGCCACTAGGATGAAACGGTGTCCATTGGAGGCTGTAGGCTTGATCTCTCCAATCATATCAATTCCCCACATAGCAAAGGGCCAAGGAGCCATCAAGACATTCAGAGGAAATGGAGGTACATGCACCTTATCAGCATAAATTTGACACTTATGACAAGTCCAAGAGTGTTGATAGCAATCTGCTTCCATAGTAGACCAATAATAGCCTGCCCGTATGATTTTCTTTGTAATCATATGCCCACTGGAGTGGGTGCCAAAAGTACAGTCATGTAATTCAGCCATGATCATTTCAGCGTCAACCTTATCCATGCACCAAAGAAAAATGGAGTCATGATTGCGTTTATACAGGATGCCATTGCTAAGGAAGAACTTAGCAGAGAATCTCCTTAAGAACTTCTTATCATTGATTGAAGCTCCTTCTGGATATTCTTGAGCCTCGAGATACCTCTTGACCTCATGAAACCAAGGTTGGTCCACTACCTCTTCAATATTAATCTCGTGACAATGTGTTGGTTTATCCATTCGTTCGATAACGATTTGGGGAGCTTCATCATCCCAATTAAGTTTAAACATAGATGACATTGTGGCTTGAGTGTCTGCTAGCTGATTTTCTTCTCGCGGGAAATGCTCGAAGTTATTTTCTCAAAATGCCGTAGAAATGTCAAAACATGTTCTTTGTAAGGGATAAGGTTTGGGTGCTTAGTGTCCCATTCCCCTTTGATTTGGCTGATTACCAAAGCTGAATCTCCAAACACATCTAAATCTTTGATTCCCAAGTCCATGGTCGCCCTGAGACCAAAGATGCATGCTTCGTATTCCGCCAAGTTGTTCGTACAGTTGAAGCAAAGTCTGGAAGTAAAAGGAGTATGACACCCTTCTGGAGATATGAGTATAGCGTTGATACCAATACTAAGTGCATTGGATGCCCCATCAAAGAACAGGGTCCATCGGGATCCTTGTTCAGGTCCGTCATATAGTCTGATTTTTTCACAGTTGCCTAATGTCATGATGTCTTCATCCAGGAATTCAAACTTCATGGACTGATAGTCTTCTACAGCTTGGTGAGCAAGGTGATCAGCCAATACACTGCCCTTTATAGCTTTCTGGGTAGTATACTGTATGTCATATTCTGTTAGGATCATCTGTCATCTAGCTATCCTCCCAGACAAAGTAGGCTTTTAGAAGATGTATTTTATCAGATCCATCTTAGATATCAACAAGGTAGTATGAGTCAGCATATACTGTCTTAGCCGGCAAGCAGCCCATGCCAGAGCGCAACAAGTTTTCTCGAGCAGTGAATATCTGGTTAGTCGGTAAACTTTTTGCTCAGGTGGTAAATAGCGTGCTCTTTTCGGCCAAACTCGTTATGCTTCCCCAAACACACCCCATTGAGTTCTCTAAAACTGTCAGATACATGATCAATGGTCTTCCGTCGACTGGTGGCATCAAAACAAGAGGCTCTTGTAAGTACTCTTTGATTTTGTCAAAAGCAACCTGGCATTCTGATCGCGACTTTATCGTCTAAATTAATTGGGAGACTGCAAGTATACAACCCTATCGCGTAGTTTTAAAAGATATCGAACCTAAGGGACTATAAATCGAACTAACGTAACCTAAACTATTGTGTAAAGCTATAGCCATCGAATAATTAATTAGGGGAATTTTTGGGTAATAAAACTTAATTCTAATTGAAATAATAATAATGCGAATATCGGTATGTACTTCGTTAACACTAAAGAATCCGGCTTTCCACTGGCTTATTTTCTAAAAATGATAATAATATCTTTTTCAGCAAAAAGTATTTATTCAAAAATCTATTCTCAAACTTTCGCTCTATTGAAGTAAATTATAATTTTAAACTCTGATGTATGCTTTCGCTATCCCGTTGATTTTAAAATTACTTTTTGAAAATAAATAAAGTTTAATTGGTTTTAAAACGCTGTCGCAGTCTTTAAAAACAATACCTAGTATCTACTATCTGATTTTAAACCTCAAACTGTCGCTCTATTGGTTTCTAATCTTAGTCAGTTTATTAGCCTCAAACTTTCGCTCTGTTGGTTTCTAAACCTTTTTTAACAAAATAAATTAGATAACTAAATCAGAAAAAGTGTTTATTTTATAAAATATAATCAAGCCTGTTTGTTCCGGATCCATTCAAAGTAACTCGTTACATACCAATATTTAAATAATTTAGCCAGACATACTCATAAAAGCAGACATGAATACATTAAAGGAATTAACATTCGTAAATAAATTCATGGCTAAATAAATATCTCTCATGCAAATAATTAATTAAATAAATTAAAGCGATGTAAATAAGAAACCTGAATTAAATAAATGCTGGAAATAATTCTTGAAGCTTGAATCAATTCGTACAAAATCCCGGTTCTTCAACAGAAATAAAATTTAAGTATTTGAAAAGGAACTGGCTGGAAAATAACTGCTGGAAACTGAATTACAATGGAAAATAATAATGCGGGAAGGTAAATTCTGAAACTGGAAAATAATGCTAAAAACGGCCCCCCGATTTTGATTTCCTGATGTCCTTTTATAGTGGTAGAATGTAACCACGTTTTGAGATATTTTCGTACCACTTTTCCCCAAATTTCTCGTTCTAACTGCTTTGAGTGGAGGTGGTCGTCCCGAGATTTACTCATCCACTTGACCACGTTGAGACGGGCGCCTCATGTATCATCCTAGGGCCTACGTGGCAGTTGAGACGGACGCTTCCCACTAAGGGGAGGGTCCGAGGCGGGCGCCTCAATTGTAGGAGAGGAGTTGAGACGTGCGTCTCACTCTTTCACGTGCCTTTAGGGCTCTCTTGCTTGCGTGGGCCTGATTTCGTTTGGGCCCAGTTTGGAGATAATAAACCTTTTGATCCATCATTTTTGCTTTGCACACCCCTTTTCTTCATTTCTTGCATATTTAGTCCAATAACTCTCTTAATTTCTTCACTTTGCTCAATTTGTCTAATTAAAATAAAATACCTGAAACAATAAAAATACCGGCGTAATATGGAAATAAAATAAAATAATTAAATAAAAATACTAACATTATTTATGAAAATTAAATCAAATATACTATATAAAATTGTGTTATCAAACTCCCCTATACTTGAACCGTTGCTTGACCTCAAGCAAAAGTAAAAAAAAATGAAAATCACTGACGCACAGTTAAACACAGATATAAGAACATACATCACTTCGTACCAGGTTGCAAGTTAAATTTTTCGTTAGAGAATTTAAGTCGAACTTAAACACCAAAGTTACCATAGGAACACTGGACAACCCCATTTAAGCAGACCAATTTAAGTCATGTCATTATAGCTTAACCTAATACTACGTTTTATTTCATCCGTTTTCATTCTAGTGCAATCACATTAAGCCCTTTACCTTACACGCACATAGTGGAGTAACTGGTTAGTGAATTTGATCTTAGTAAGCCAGCTAGGAGTTCTGGTAATTTAATCATATGGTACTCCCTTTTTCCAATTAAAAATTGCAGGGGATCGAACCGTAATTCGCCCTGCCAAGTTCAGCACCAGGGACCACTGAACCAATTTATAATGGATATTTTGCATTTAAATTTATAGTTTCTGCAACTGTTGGATTAAATGATCTGGTAAGGACCATCTAACTTAATAAGTGCATCTTCAGATAAAAGTAATTTCTTAAGAATATTTGATCAATCACTTATATTCATCACCTCTCCACGTAGTTTGTGTTTATGGCGGTGCCGACTGCTTAATAAACTACTCGGGGCTAATCTAAAACTAAGTTTTAAAGGTTTTGGTATAATAAGTACTTAAATCGATCCAACACATCAGGGGTTTTGAAGTGTTAAGACGATAGCAATTTTGCTAAGTTGCTCGAATTCTTATTTATAATAGGCAACCTTAATACTAATTGAATAATGTTTATAAATGCGTGTTAAAATTGTTTTATTTTATTCGTTATGGCTCAAGAAATAGGGGGAATTCGAGTAAGCACAAATTTTTGCATAAGAGATTAAAATTTGCATAAATAAGTATGTTATTGAATTGAAATTTTGCAATACAAGAAAAGAAATAAAAGGAAAAATACTACAAAGAGAGCAAAGGAAATAGAAATGAACAAGGAAATGATCTGACTCCCCTATACTAAAAAGGAGCAATGTCCTCAATGCGATAAAAACAAAGGAGAATCAGATGAAAAGAGAAAGGCGATCACTCGTTGCTTTGAGAATCATGATCTCTTGTTCTTCGTCCTCTAGTACGAGGTCTTCGTCGTACGTCAGAATCAGAATCATTAAGATGAAGTGCGTCTGCTATGCGAGCTTGCAAAGATTCGAGGTTACGATCATGGTGAAAGGCATATTCTTGTTGTTCGCGTCGCATCTCTTGTTGGTGGCGTTGCAACTCTAGTTGGTCACGTTGTACTTCTTGTACGAGACGTAAAGTCTCAGCTTAGTTTTGTTGCATGGCATGGAACAACTGATCTTGACGAAGCATATGAGCCTGCATAGCTGCGAAATTTGCAGCGGGATTATTTGGTTGTTGGGCGGCAGGTGCATCAAGAGCATAACGACAATTGGCGCAGACTCGGACGTCGATACGATTCGGACAAGGTAACACAAAATCAGGAATTTGACGATGATTTATCACTAATGTAAACCGGCCATCATGTCTTGGAGAGATTATATGGGAATCTCGGCAATAGATGACATCAAGAAGAGTGGCTGGCATCATATATTGTAACAAAGAAAATAGCTCGGCGGAAAGTCCTAAAGCATATGCTAAAGATGTGATGATGCCTCCAAAAACAAAGGGATTAGTACCTGCTGCGTTCACGCATGTGTGGATGTGACTGAGCATGAAAGGAGCAACGTTGACAGCCTTACCATTAAGGGCACAGAAAATGATGAACAACTCATTTTGGTTGACCTTGTGATTATTGGTCCGACCAAAGATGGTGTTATCAAGAACGCGGTGAAAGTACCTTAATGCAGGGTTATGTATTTGAGAAGCATAGAGGTCGCGCCAACTTTCCGTGGTTTGACCGGTTAGATCATTCCATAAGGAGAAGCCGACTTGATCCCAAGAAAGATCGTGGTCATCGTCGAAAGGCTTGTAATGAACATGCTCGCCGCGAGTGAAAGATAAGAGTTCAGCGACTCTTTCTTGATTAAGAGAGTACTCTTGGTTAAACATGCGGAAGTTGGCGGTTCCGGTTGTGTAGGGATCGTCGACAGGTGTTGTGTAAGAGAAGGAACTAAGAAATTCAAGCACGAGTGGTTCATAAATTGGACATGAGTTTGTGTAGAGACTGGTTAAACCGGTGTTATTGAGCATGAATACGATGCTATCGGTCATTCCTAAGGTTTCCAAACACTCCGAACTTACGTATTTTGTAGGAACGACGGAACGGGTATAGAATTTTTTATACTTTTGTTGTTGTTGGCCGTCGTCGTTATCGCGGAAAATGATATTGGATAGGTCGGGTGGTGGTCGGTCGAGCTTAACTTGTCTTTGGTTGTTTCGTGGAGCCATAGATGGATACGGGTTGAAGAAGGGAAAAGGTAGAAAATATGGGTGTAGGAGAGGAAATGGTAGAGATGGTTAGAAATGTTGTGAAATGAGAAAGAAGGATGAAGGGTATTTATAGTGGAGTGAGAGTTAAGAGTGATAAATTATAATAAGTGGGTGTTGGAAAATGGGAGGGAAAATATGAATGGGGATTAATGGTGGGAAGTGGAAAGAATATAATTTGAATGAAAATAAAGAGTGTTGAATTTGAATTAATTGGGGCTGAATGGGAAAACGAAACGGATAAGACAAGTAAATGCAAGGGAAGACCACCTTTTACACTGCACGAAACACATGCTGAGGCGACCGTCTGACACAGGAGACCATGCATGAGGCGTGTGTCTCAAAGCTGCATGGCGTGGGAACAGTTGGAGACGTGCGTCTCCAGTCAGCGTGTTGGGCTGAGGCGTGCGTCTCACTTTATTGGGAACAAGCCAGCGTGTGAATGACAAGGGACAGTATGCAAAGAATAAAAAGGAATCTCACTTGCAAGGTAGAATGATACGGATAACGCAGGAGCCAGAAAAAGGAATATATTTAAAAATTGTAGCAACAAATAAGAATGCAATAATACTAATATTCTTATAAGATGATATTTTTATATGATATAATATATTAAGCTGCAACATTATAATTATAAGAAAATAACATGAATTGCTTTTAGAATGAGGATCAAAGTTGCTTACAATTTAAGAATCAAGTATTTGGAAAGTAAAACATAATAATAAAAAGAACATAACGAAAATATTGCAATTTCTAATAAAATCAAACTAAGCTAAACTAAATAAAATGAACTACTTAAAAGCTCTAGCCACTATATGGTCCTGCCTTAGGAGCGGAGGAAGAATGAAAGTAAGCGAAAACTTCTTGAAATTGCACAGAAACAGTATCCATAAAACCAAAGAAATCGGCTCGCAAACTAGTCAAATCGTCCCTCAAAGCCTGATGTTCCACCTGGAGAGCGTGGATGGCAGTCGCATAATCAATGGTAGGAGCCTCATGCATAACGGTGTCAGGAGCAACAGAGTGAGCGGTATAATCGTGCTGAGGAGGGCCCATATCATAATAACCTGGAGGAGCAGTGGGATCTTCCTCAGAATCTTCCAAAACCTCATAATCTTGCGGAGTCTCAGGAGTGTTGGGCGGAGAAGGCTGCTGATCAAGACCAAAAAGCCAGTTGGCTTTGTTATGCACACTCGTAGCAGGGTTAGGCAAGGTAAACAGCTGCATAACTTGACCATTAATCAACAAGGTAAACTGAGTCGGGCCAAGATCACCAATTATACCAGTGTTGAAACAGAACTCGATGGTCATGAAAGTAACACCAGTAAAAGCATTCAGATGCTTAAAGGGTTGTCGAAGTCCAACAACATTTGCAATCATAGTGACGAGACCTCCCATCCGAATGAGTGCATGATCAGTATCAATGAGATCCACAAAGGTATGGATCAGATAAGTGATCGCATTAACCGGACGGTTTTGCGAAGCACAAAACATGATAAAAAGCTCATCCTTAGAAACAGTGGTGACATTCTGGGGTTTTCCAAAAATGGTGTGGGCCAGAATCTTATGGAAATACCTGAAGGCCGGATTATGGATATTCTCTGATACAAAGTCCTCGGGCTCAAGGTTAAGGGTTCCAGAAATAGATCCCCAAAAATAGTCAAGCTCTCTAAATCCAAGATACTCCTGCTGAGTTTCATGATAAACTCCTATGTCATTAGGAAAACCAAGAAGCTCACCCAATTCCTTATGGTTAAACTTGAAAGTGATGCCAAAAAGTCTGAAGATAATAAGTCCACGGCGTAAAGCTAACCCATGAGAAGGAAAGTATGTCAAAGAGCTGAGGAACTCCAAAGTGAGGTTCCGATAAGTGGCGTAGCAAGTCATCAGGCGTGAACTATCCCACCCAATCTGATTCAGCAGAAAAAGCACACTATCACGAATACCAAGAGCAGTCATAGCACCGTGATGAAGGTAGATAGTAGGTAACATCTCACGCTCGGATAAAACTCCATATTTGGTGCGCTGATTTCTTCCTCTGAAACTAACTGGCATATCATCAACTCGAGACATAGTGGGAAGAGAAATAAGTAGCAAGAAGTATCCTAAAGAGAAGAAAATAAAGAAGATCAGCATTGGCCAAATGCCTATAAGAAGAAAAAAACATAGAATAGAAAGAAATAAGACAAAGAGGAGAAATATAATGAATAGATAAAGAAAAGAAATAGATATATTTTTGTTTTTGTTTTTGTTAAAAATAGACTACAGAAGAAATGAAAAATAAGAAGAAGGAAATATAAAAAACGGTGGGTTGTCTCCCACAAAGCGCTTTGTTTTATGTCGTAAGCTCGACAATTAAAACTAAAGACTAGGCTTCTAATCGAGCGTGTGGCTCGTCTAGATTTATCGTTTGAGAATTTCCCTCGAGTTCAGTTAGATGGTAATGTTTTAAACGCTGCCCGTTTACTATAAATGGTTCAATCGAAGGTCCCTTAATCTCTATTGCACCACTTGGATAAACTCGAGTAATTTCAAAAGGTCCGGACCACCTAGATCGTAATTTTCCAGGAAATAATTTTAATCGTGAGTTAAATAGTAATACCAAGTCACCTATGTTAAAATTCTTCCTAGATATATGCTTATCGTGCCATTTCTTTGTGCGCTCTTTGTAAATCCTAGCATTTTCATACGCATCCTGTCTAAGTTCTTCCAATTCATTAATATCCAGGATACGCTTCTCTCCAGCGGCAGTGTAACTTAAGTTCAGATTCTTAATGGCCCAATAGGCCTTGTGTTCTAACTCAACTGGGAGATGGCATGACTTACCATAAATAAGCTTGAAAGGAGTAGTACCGATGGAAGTTTTATAGGCAGTTCTATAAGCCCATAAAGCTTCGTGAAGTTTAAAGGACCAGTCCTTTCTGGACGTAGCGACAGTTTTTTCAAGGATTTGTTTTATCTCGCGATTTGAAACTTCAACTTGTCCGCTAGTTTGAGGATGGTAAGGTGTAGCTATGCGATGTCGAACTCCATATTTTCCTAATAATTTTTCAAAGATTTTGGAAATGAAATGAGATCCACCATCACTTATAACGAGTCTGGGTACACCGAACCTAGGAAAGATTATGTTCTTGAACAGCTTAAGTACCACTCGGGTGTCATTTGTTGGAGAAGCTATAACTTCGATCCATTTTGAGACATAATCCACAGCCACGAGTATATACTTGTTACCGGATGAAGATGGAAAGGGTCCCATAAAGTCTATCCCCCACACATCAAAGATTTCGACTTCTAAAATGCCTTTTTGTGGCATTTCGTCATGTCTAGATATATTACCGTTGCGTTGACACCTGTCGCATTTTAAGATGGTGGCATGTACGTCTTTCCATAAATTAGGCCAATAGAGACCAGATTGTAAGATCTTTGCACAAGTTTTGGATGTACTCGCATGTCCTCCGTAAGGTGCAGAATGACAGTGTTTTATAATGTTTTCAATCTCTTCTTCTGGCAAACATCAGCGGAAAATTCCATCGGGACCTCTCTTGAAAAGTAAAGGTTCATCCCAATAATACTGTTTAAGATCATGGAAGAATTTCTTCTTCTGTTGGTAGGTAAGTTCAGGTGGTAAAACGCCTGCAGCGAGGTAATTTACGAAATCGGCATACCAAGGCGCCGAGGAGACGGCTAAGGTGGTTTCCATGAGTTTATCTGGTTCTGTGTCTTCCAAGTGGGCAATCAGTTTATCATACTGGAATTCATCATCGATCGGCACTTGTTCATGTTTAAGATTTTCTAGTCTAGAGAGATGATCTGCTACCACGTTTTCGGTTCCTTTCTTATCTTTGATTTCTAAATCGAACTCTTGCAGTAGCAATATCCATCTCAGGAGTCTAGGTTTAGCGTCCTTTTTGGTTAGGAGATATCTAATAGCAGCATGATCAGTGTATATGATTATTTTGGATCCTACTAAGTAGGAACGAAACTTGTCTAATGCGAAGATCACTACTAAGAATTCTTTCTCGGTTGTAGCATAATTCATCTGCGCTTCGTCCAGGGTTCTGCTTGCATAATATATGACGTGGAGTCGTTTATCCTTTCACTATCCTAAAACAGCTCCTACGGCATAGTCACTTGCGTCACACATTATTTCAAAAGGTTCATTCCAATCTGGAGTTTGCATGATAGGCGCAGAAATTAATGCTTTCTTAAGTGTTTGAAATGCTTCTAAACATTTTTCGTCGAAGATAAATTCAGCGTCTTTCATTAATAGCTCAGTTAGGGGTTTAGTTATCTTAGAGAAATCTTTAATGAATCGTCGATAAAAACCGGCGTGTCCCAAAAAGCTTCGGATTTCTCTAACAGTTTTTGGAGGTTGAAGGTTCTCAATAACTTCGATTTTAGCAGAATCGACTTCAATTCCTCTTTTGGATATAATGTGTCCTAAAACAATTCCTTCTTGTACCATAAAATGGCATTTCTCCCAATTAAGCACTAGATTAACCTTCACACAATGTTCTAATACCCTTTCTAAATTTTCTAAACATTCTTCAAAGCTTTGTCCACAGACGGAAAAATCGTCCATGAAGACTTCCATAATATTGTCCAGAAAATCAGCAAATATTGCCATCATACATCTTTGAAAAGTTGCAGGAGCATTGCATAAACCAAATGGCATTCTTCTATAAGCAAAGGTTCCAAAAGGGCATGTGAAAGTTGTTTTCTCTTGGTCATTAGGATGAATAGGTATCTGAAAGAAACCTGAATAATCGTCCAAGAAACAGAAATGAGAGTGTCTAGCTAAACGTTCCAACATTTGATCAATAAATGGTAAAGGGAAATGATCTTTTCTGGTGGCTTTGTTAAGTTTTTGATAATCGATGCACATTCTCCATCCAGATTCGACTCTTTTAGTTATGATTTCTCCTTTCTCATTTTTTACTACTGTGACACCTCCTTTCTTA